TTCCTATCTCTTACATCTATACTAAAATTGCAGACACAAACTTCCTACTGTATTCAGTGTGTGAGTGTGTGAGTGTGTGTGTGTGTGTGTGTGTGTGTGTGTTCATAGGGTGAGTCACACAAGTACACCCCTCCATACACGTGCACCTATGCCTCCCCTTGCACTGTCATACACAAACCCAGCCACCCTACCCCCAAATTCACCCACACCCCACATACTTACACACCCACAGCCCCCACAAACCTATACCCACTCCCCACAATGTACAAGAATAAGACTTCATTTTAAGCTATTGTGCATTCACCACTATGTACACTATCCAAATGCATGTAAACCAGGACAAACATTTTTTTTGAAATCAAATTAATGAATGTTGATCACTTTTTAGAATATAATTTGGTATTTTTCTGGTTCTGAGATGGCAAAACCCCTTGCTGAAAGGAGTACTTCTGGGAGCAAGGGGAGGGACTTCTGGTGGCAAAGGTCAGGGGTTAGGGGATGGGACTTCTGGTCACAAGATGGAGACCAAGGGGTGGGGCACCTGTCAAGGGGTGAGGCTACCCATGCAGCCCTTGACAACTTGCCAAAATTTGGTAAGCAGCCCTCCATCCAAAATAATTGCCCTCCCAATCCTAAAGTGATTTAAGCCTTTGTTTGCTACTTTGGTATCATTAGTATTACTGCCACCAGTCCCTTGCACAGACTTTGGTGCCTGTCAAGAGTAAGCCACCAAAAAAAGTTGCCATGTTTGGTAACCAAAGCCAGCAAATCAGAAATCTTGCATTCCATGCTTTTGGATATATTACCTTGTGCCTTTCACTGGATTGTTGTTGCATGGTTCCCAATGACCAGATCCAACTATGCTTGCTTCTATGTAATACCCAACCAACTCCTTTGCATCTTGGGGTTCTGTCCAAGTGACAACCACTGACGTGTCTGTATTCCTGGTTGGTATAATACGGCCAGGAGCTTTTGGAATATCTGGTGGGGGAAAAAACAAAACCAAATGAATGACCAGTAACGCTGGAATTGTGCTATACTATAGACTATAATTTACATTCTTTTTTTGGTTGCACTAGTGTGAATCCAAATAACTCCACTGACTTCAGGGCATAACTTCTAGCATAATTCAGCCTTATGTTTTAAAAGCCACAGGTCCTTACTGTGACTACTATCTTAGATTTTCTTACACAAAAAGGAGTCTCTGTGTCCATGCAAGTATTATAAGCATCATATTTTTTCGGTAAAACAGTAATAATTAGGGCTGGCAACATGAACGCCACATGCCCCTGGAGGCTGAGGGGTATGGTGAGCTCCAGCAGGTGGCGGTAGCGGCGGGAGTGTGGCGGCAGTAAGTAGGGAGCTCCTGCAGGCAGTTGTGGAGCTGGCGGGGAGCGGGGACCGAGCACTGAACAGAGGTCAGTGAGCACCTGCAGACGGTGCCAGCAGCATCGGCGGTGGCCAGCAGCAATCATGGACTGCCCACAGGCGCTGCTGGTGGTGTTGGCAGCAGGGGAAGGGGTGGCAAGCGGCAACCACCTGCGGGTGCCGCTAGCAGTGTTGGTGATGCCTTTTCATAGGGGGTGCACTGTCATGCTCAGGGGTGCATGTGCACCCCCTATGCATCACCAATGGCTGGCAATATAGAGGAATTATTTTCAGTGAAAAACTGCAAACAAAAAAAGAGTATGAATTTGGATGAATTCCCTCTCCCCCTTGTGCAATTTTCTTTTCATGTATTTAACTTTTACTAAATCACTTGCTGTCTTTGCTGCAGTTTTTGTATCTGCCATTAATATACAATGGATCAATAACTCAGGTCATGATTAACTATGTAAAAAAGAACATATCTCTATCTACAGTCCACAGTAGTGCCAACCATGTAAAACCCATAAGTCTTCTTCCTGTAAAGTAATTCAACCATTATATAGTCTCAGAGACTGCATAATATAACTGGTAATGCACTTACCAAGTTTGTCACCCACCACAGTTGATTCTGTTGCTTCACAGGGCTCACCAATGCCAGCTGAATTACAACAGCGAACACGGAAATGGTAAGATTTCCCTTCAGCCAAATCAAAAACAGCAAAACGAGGAGATTTTACAGGGATCTCAGTGTTCACTCTCTGCCAGTTCTCGGTGCCTGCAATACACTGCAATCAAAAGGAGAAACAGTTTTTAGGACAAATATTCCGAGTACAAAGCTTAGAAAATTATCTAAGATGTCAAGCAGTTCCATCTGGACTGCCAAAGGCACAGCTATTATGGAAGAAAGACCCTGTACGCTTCTGTTTGGCAAGGCCTCAGAATGAATTAATAGATTTCTCACCTTTTAGGTGATCACTGATTCCAGAGTCCATGCCTATATGATTCCAGTGCCATAGCAAGGAAGTTTGGTGCCTGGGGCAAGACCAAAAACCACCGCCCCCAAACTTCAATTATTATAAAAATAAGTAATTTTAATTGTGTGCCAAATAAGAAAAATATTACATTTATTACCACATATATAACATACTTTCTGGGTTGGTTTGGGGGACCATGTCTTTGCAGGGAGCGGGAGAGGTGGGTTACACCACCCCTACTTTGGACTTTACTAGGGCATGAGTGGGCCATACCAATGCCTGTTGCAGGGAAGGAGCATGGGCTATACCAGTGCGGGTGCACAGCCCTACCTATGTGGCTGAGGAGGAGGGAGGAGGGTGGGAGGCAGCACTGTGTGCATGCTGCCTGGAAGCAAGTGGACTGTACCAATGGTGTGGGGTGGGGCA